TCGGCGGCCGAATCTGAAATTGATTGATGATTTGTGATCCTTATAATTAATGTGATTTTATGGTGTATTTATTTAAAATGTGATTTGGTATGATTAAATTGGATTAAAATGAGTTAAATTGCATAAGTTGACTTAATCACCATTTTGCCACCATTGAGTGGGCCACTTAGCCAACATACTTGAGCCTTGTTATACATGTAATCAAAACATTTCATCAACCATTTCCCTTGTTATTGCCGACTAAGAGGGAGAGAGGGAGAGAAGTGAGTGTTCTTGAGAGTTGGCTTAGAGAACTTGAAGAATTGAAGGATAATTGTTTAATTAAGCTTCTAGTCTTGTGATTGAAGACTTAGGTAAGGAAATTCAACCTCTCATTGTTGTGTATTTAAGTTCCTTCTAGCATGGATCATGGTAGATTAAAGAGTTAAGTCATGAATTGGTTCAAAAGTGTTGAATTGAAGCTTAATCATTGCATGCATGGTATACTCTTGCATTTTAGAGCTTGTTCTTCATAAATTGCCCCATGCATGTCCATGTTTTGATCATAAACCATGTTTTCACCTTGTCTTTGAAAGAATTGGCTCATTAGAGCATGAAATTGAAGCTTTGAAATGATTTAAATTCATGCATGTTATGTTTGATTTATGTTCATGAAAATTGGTTTCAAATGGAGTTGGATTGATCTTCCTTTTGGGCCTTGATTTTACAAATTGAACTTTGAATCATGTTATTCTATGTATTTACTAATGTTTTCCGAAAAAATGGCCCAAAGGAATTGGTTTTAATGCATTTGAACTTGATTTGAGCTTGAGGTTCAAATCTGGAAATTCCAGATTTTGAACTTACGCTCGAGCGTGAAATTCATGCTCCCAGTACTTTGCACTGTTTTGATGTTCGCTCGAGCGGAATAATTGACGCTCGAGCGGGACATTGTGTCTCATGCTCGAGTGGGTGTCGAGCGCCCAATCGAGCGTGATTTTCACTTATCCAGCACTCTTGACTGTTTTGCAGAACGCTCAAGCGGGTAAGTCTACGCTCGAGCGGAAACCTTTGCCTGCATGTACGCTCGAGCGGAGTAACCTACGCTCGAGCGTGAACCCTGTTTTCTGAAAATTCTGAAAATGCTTTTAAAGTGCATCTTTGCATCCTCATCTCATAGTAGGCATTATTAGGCCTAGTTTAAGGCATCTTAATGAGGATATAGATGTAGAACACACCGAGGCAAATTAAGGATTAAGTTATTATTTTCCCAACTGTGTAGCTTAGTGTGTGTTCAATCTTTAAACTGTGTAGGGTTGGCGACTGGGGACGCACTCTAGCTTTACTGTAGCCCAGAACTCTGTGAGTAACAACTGTGTAAAGATATGTTCAAAATGATAATCTTCTGAACAATCGAACTGTATTGCTTTCTGAACTGATACTGTTAATTGAATGAATGTATGTCCTATATTCTGAACTATATTGTGCATCCTTAACAACTACTGTTTACTGTTACTGTTACAGAGATCTCTGTCGGTTCCCTTGTTGGAACCACTACTGTTTACTGATTGATGGCCATCATTTACTGTTCGGTCTTTTAAGACCTACTGTTTACTGTACTGTTATGCTAATGGATGTACCACATATGACTGAATGACTGATATACTGAATTAACGAACTGTTTTCATTACTGTAAGGACATTCATTCTTAACCTCTTTACACATTACGTTATTCACTGGGCTTTAGCTCACTGCTTATATATATATGTAGGTGTACAGGCACCAGACCGCGGCTAGAAGCGTCGGGGTTGAGCTCCAGTTTTGTCAAGCCATCCACTGTGCCTCACAGCGAGATTCCGAGCCTGTCAAGTTATGGCTTAGGGGTGTTTTATTTTCCCCCGTCTGTCTCTGTATCTGTTTTGTATAACTGTATAAACTGTTACCGTACTGTTTAATAGGGATTAGGTCCCTGAACTGAATGATTGTGGGTATGTACATACTGTTCATGTATATGTGTATGAAAAGTCTTTTTGGCATACAAACTGTCACAACTCTTTGGACATTGTTTATTTACTGTTTTGGCTTCCGTCATACCCCTATACTCTGGATTACTGTGTTATTGTTAAGCAGGCCTTCGGTAATCTTGGATTACTGGCCGGTTACGGTGCTAAACCCATAGGGGCGGGTTTGGGCTGTGACATTGTTGATGAGATGATTACTAACATTTTTTGGGCTGATCATCAGTTGATTACAGATTATGGCATTTTCAGTGATGTTGTGTCATTTGACACAACATTCTGAACAAACAAAGAGAACCATCCACTTGCTTTATTTACTAGCTTTAACCACTTCAGAATGACTATGATTTTTGGTGCTGCATTATTATATAATGAAACTACAGCATCATTTGAGTACATAATGATCATAAAACCACACACTAGTGAGATCTTATTCTTTTTATTGAAATCATATTACTTAAGTACATATTGCTCATAAAACTACTAACAATATTTTATGGACTAGGATGTTGAGGTACCCTATTGGCCACAACTAATGAATTCCGGATATAATCTGCTCATGCATGATGTTAATTTTGTATGCCCGCCAACTTATCCACTATCAACGCCTTTGTCTTCCCAAGCATTGTACAACCCACAAAGTTGTCAGGTGTGTAATATACTTGTTTGCAATCTAGATTTTTGTTTTTACATATATGTGTGTATTTATTTCCATTGCATTTCCTTATACCTTCTTCTCTTTTTTTTTGCAGGGATTAGGATTTGATCTAGCAGAGCACAGTCCCATGGTGGCTGAGTCAGTCTTTCATAATGATAGTTTGTTTGATTTTTTCAATCATTCGGAACCACCCCGCAAAATTGAAATGTAAACATTTATCTAATGGGCCACCCTTTTGCTTTATTTTTGAGAATTAAATTGAAATAGATTCAAGGTTTATTTAAGGAGAAGCCACCACTGTTATTGTGTTTTATTTCATTTGTGTTTGTTACATAATAGAGCATCAAATTGTGCATACTGGATATGGACTCAAGGTTTACGGAAAAACCATTGTTATTGTGTTTTATTTTATTTGTGTTTGATACATAACAGAGCATCAAATTGTGTAGATTGGAATTTTTTTTTTTTTAAGATGGAAATGATTTTTTATAAGTTTTATGGTGGCTGTAGTTAATTGTAATTTTTTTTTTTTATGCTGGAATACAAATTGTAATAATAGCAGATTGTAAATTTCTTTTTATGCTGGAATATAAATTGTAATACTAGCAGATTATAATTTTTTTTTATGCTGGAATACAGATTGTAATAATAGTAGGTTGTAAAAAAATTTTATGCTGCAATAAAGATTGTAATAAATATAATATATGTCCAAAATATTTTTGGGTTGTGTGAGTAGCACAATAGTTGAAGAACTTTTTACTCCCCAGCTTGCTTGGGTTCAAACCCTTTGAACAACCAAACCAAACCAATTTTTTTTTTTTTATATATTTTATTTTATGATGAAACGACGTCGTTTCAGCTCTCAACAGTAACTGCTGTGAGTTGCTCGCAGCAGTACTTTTTGAAACTCAAGCTTGCCAATTATTAGGCCTCGTTTGGAAACAGGCTAATTTAGTAACTTTTTGGCTATTTGGCTAAAATATGTACTAAAAAAAACCAATATATTTGGGGTGACTTTTTGGCTTCTTACGAAAAGATGTGCAAAAAGTAGAAAGAAAAAAGAATTTTTGAATTTTTGGTATGAGTTATTGACTTTTTGATTTTTGCAGTGACTTTTTGACTAAACGGATCGCTTGCCAAACGAGGGCTTAGAGAAAGGGAAAGTACTTTTTGAGGCCATGTTTGTTGACGGATTAGATTGAATGAGATTGTTAGTGAGGAAATGGTTTGTGAAGAGATTATTAATATGGATATTATCAGTGAAGGGATTAAGTAAAAATGTGTTTATTTTAATAATAGTAGGAGAGATGTTTAATGATGGGATTGTTAAATTATTTTTATATGAAATAAAAATATATATATTTCGATGTTTAAAAAAATTCTAAAACAAATATAAAAAAAATAAAAATTACAAATAAAAGGCTACACTTGGGTATAAAAAAAAAACACTTATTTTTCCAATCTCATGCTTTCACAGGAAAAAAAACTAAGCCCATTGTCGTACATCATTGACAATCCCATTGGACTAATAGTTTAGTAAAATATAAGACTTACCAAACAAGCCATAGGTGAGGTGACCTCACTAGCAATTCAATCCCCTCAATGAATCATCCAAACAAACATGACCTAACAGAATTGACGTTTCACTCTATTATTGTCTCATATTCTGCTTTATCATTGCCTTTGTTTCTTTATATGTACTTTACAATCACGCAATGTGACTCTCTTTTATTCACTCTTTTAATTCGATGTCAACTATCATCTTTTAGTTCGACGGCAACTATCAAACTACCTATTATCCCCACCACCTCACAGCCAAAAAAAGAAAAAAAAATACCTTCCACCACCAACATGGCCTTCCTCCCCTTCACATTTCAGCATTGTTGCCACCATTACAATGATCCCACCACCACCTCCAATCTCTTTCCCGTAAGATGATCCTAATTTTTTACCCTAACATGTACTGCAAACATATTTGAAGCACAACCTTTGCACAAATAACAAGGCAATCCATGTGTGCAAAATGATTGGTGGCAAATATGTGTGCGTGCTTACATGGTACACACAAATAAACGTTACAATACAAACATTCCCACCCACCACAGAACCCCAAAACCAACAAAACCAAAGACCGTCCACTAAAAAACATTACCGTCTTATAAGGTGTGATGTATGATTTGAGTCTTACTATCTACTACGTGATTCAATTTCCCTTTCCCCTATTCCCTTTGTAAAAAGAAAACCAACAAAACCAACCAGCATCAAATTCCAACTATGCAATGAAACCAGGATTTCATAATGTAGATAATGGGTGAGGTGCACATTTGTACATGGACATGAAAAGATAAAAAATAAAATAGTTTATTGAGGATTAGGCCATCTAAATACTTAAATTAAAACTTAGGACTTATATTGACTGCTTAAATGCACTTTCTTTGAACATAGGTACCAGAATCAGGAGCAAAGCAGAGTCAATTGCTACAAAATCTTTTAAGTTCTAAACCACAACAACAGTAGTTTAACAAACTAGCTCTTAACTCTAAATGGCCTAGCATGTTAGCCTCAATATCTTTGAATATAGCTCATAAATTCATCCAATGCCATCTTAATCCCCGAATATCATCGCCGTCTGATCAAGCTAATTCGATTGGACATGTCAGTCTTCTGGATCTGACAAGTAGACGGGACTTTCAAGTTCACCCATCTGAGCAGAAGCAAAAGACTCAAATGAATCGACTGTGGAGAGTGAAGAAGGAGACTCATCGGTGTCTGAGAATTGCTCATCATTCATCATGATGTGTTCATCATCCATTGCGATGTGGTCTTCATCAATATCTGATGTATCTGACCCAGAGGCTCCCTGTAGAAGCTTTTGTATTGCCGTTTTTGCAGTTTCAGCAAACCATTCGTCTGCGGGAAGTGCACTGACAAACGAAAAAGAAAAAAAATCAATTCAATTGAAGGTAGAAGAACAGAATGGGGGGAGAAAATATTCTAAGCAAAATGGATTGATGGTGGGCTTACCTTTGTGGGTTTATGCCCCTAGCAGAGAAGGTCCTGATTGCACGGGTTATTATGGAAGATGCTATCTGGTGGATGTGTCGGGATGGGTAACCCGCAAAACGTGCAATTTCAACGGTGAAGTGCATATCTAGAATTAACTGCCAAGGCAAAGTTGAATAAAAGCTCAACACAGATAGAGAGAGAGAGAGAGAGAGAGATTAACACCATCCGGTGAAAAAGACCTAAATAGTAAAGCTCAATAGGAGCAAAGTACATACTAACTCGAGATCTCAACAAATATACATGGACAACAAATTTCCTTTTTGAATGTTGGTAAGTTAATTACAAAAAAATTGGTAATAGGTATTTCATAGGCTGTTAAAACACCCACATGGAATTCCAAGTACATGGAACATACAACTTATGGACAGTGACTACCCTAAAGCCCATCTAGTGCCACCCCTGATGCTGAACACCCTCCACATATAGTCCAATCTTGTGCATTTTTTTTGTTAGAGGCTATCCACTTGACTGTTGCTATACTGATGTACAACATCTTTTTTATAGATGTATCCCCAACTGAAAGACTTCTCACCTAAAGCTCATTCTTTACTTTGATGCCAATCTCTCTCTCTCTAAAATGAACCCTCTTTTCTTTCTTTGTTTCTTAGATCTTCACTCAAATCTCTTTCCCACTATCTTCCGAGATTCAATTCTGAAGATTCCACATTGATCTAATCTAGAATTATAATTCAAAAACAAACTTCCTTCTTATGCAAGATGAGAAATATTTGATTTTGAATTCTAAGATTAAGGAGGAAAGGTTTGGAATGGGATACAATTACGAAAAACAACACAAACAGCAGATGTAGATCAGTTACTCATCACTGAAAAATAATTTAACAGACAGCACATTCTCTTCTCTTATTATGATTAGTTTGGCTTGCCTTCCCATTTATTAGTGCTTTTCTCATCTTACCATATCTTTCACTTTATCTTAAATAAATTGGACAGAGCAATCTAGATGGTAAAAGTCACCTGCTGCAACCCTAATGGCTGAAGATGAGCAGAATCATCCTCTAACACACCCCAGAACTCCTGTTCATCAGACAGCCACATTACCACGGTCTCTGTTAGCCTGGCAAGCAAAATTTTCTGTATTCTCTCTTTTCCAAGTAACACATCTCCAGCCACAGTTGCTAACTGTTGCAGCTTCCCAAACAATGCCTGAAATCATAGCACGAGGTTTCATTAGCAGAACATGAAGAAAATTGGTTGAAATGAAGAAATGTACTTGTTATTTGGTTAAATAAAAGAAGGTATTTTTCAAAGCATATTTGTAGGGTCCAATATAGGGGTGACCATTGGTTTAATAGTAAAACATTGGCCTAATAACCTTGAGGTTATGAGTTCAAGTCATGGGGCAAGGCAACTATTTTGTACACTATGCCGAAGGTTAGGTGTGTATCCAATATTTTCCCTCCCAAACACACATTAATGTGTACTACTTAGAAAATATGAGGAAGAAGAACTCCGAAAATATGAGGAAGAAGGAATATATTTCTGTTATATTCAAAACTTCTTATCTTACAAGACCAAATGACACTCCTTATATAGGAGATATTACAAACATCATTATAACCCATTATATGCCACTTACATATTATATATTACCACTATCTACCACTATCATATTATATACATGCCACTATCTACCACCAACACCACTATCATATTCTATACATGCCACTATCTACCACCAACACCACTATTATATTATATACATTAACACAAATTTCCAGCAGTACTAATTGAGCGTTGTTTTTATTTGTAGGGTCCAATATATCTGGGAAAATGCACTTTCTGGCAAGATGTAACTCGAATTTTTCAGATGTGAAAATAAAATAGATTGGGGCGGAATTTCCAGGAATTCTAAGCGTAAGGTTTTGCAAAAAACATGTACAAATGGAAAACACAACACCAAACAGCAGTAATTACACGTCACCTTACACAACATGCCCACACATGCAAGAAGCACATAAACTCACACAAACATTTTAGTATGTTATCCAACACAAAACCATCAGATACAGTAGCTCAAAACAATTAAACAAGTCAAAAAATACAAACAACACCACAATGTGGACGGGAAGTATTATAAAATAAAAAAGTATTAGATGGAAGTAGAACTATTAAAAGCTCACAAGATTACACGAAGTGATTAAAGTATACATAATTTTTATATTACCAGAACTTACATGTGTCTACTTACTTCATTGACACTTAAAACAAATGAAAAAATGAATTGGCTTCCCATTTAAACATGGGAATCTGGATAACAGAGAGAGCATATTAAATTATACCATGCATCGAAGAATAGTGTATAACATCTGAGGGCAATGATAATTTCAGCAATTTGAGGAGAAAAAGATAACCTGGAAGGGTAGTGAAGGCAGGTTAGAATCCCAAATCAGATCATCACCTTTACCATGTAAATAAATCTGTGCATCTAAACGTGCTTCTCCATCTCTTGAATAAATAAAATTTAAAACATATTGTCGACAGAAGTGATCTCTGAGCTTGTCCAATGAATGCTGAAGATGGCGCCTCCAATCCTTGAGTTCTATAGCATTGTTTGCCATAGGCAGGATGTTTTCAACAACTCCGTTCGCTGCTTCCTTGCTTTCATTCAATGCGCTCCAAATTCTAGACACAAGCATTGGCAATAGTTCATCCGCAACAGTAAATGCAGTTCCCAATAGAGCAAGCTGTTCAGAATCTGTTTCGACTCTAAAAGATACAGCTTCTTTCAACTCTGTAAGATTGTCATCTTCAGATGGGCCAGGTAACGCTCTAATCAAAGCATCCACGTACTTATCAAAAAGCTGTGAAATTCTAGTCAATACATTTCCTCCAAAGTGCAAAATAACCAGGGGGGTTAACTGCTCCACTATATCCTGTAAAGAATATTTCACTATTAAGGTTACGAGATGAATTGATAATTGAGACATCACCAACCACGTACCCAAAAAAAAAATTGAATTGAGTATGTATCACCAATCTCTCTATTGGCTCTAACTATGCTGTTTGATTCCTGGAAAAGCCTCCAAGATAATCATTCTTAAGTCAGCATGCAGCCAAACCATACAACACATCCATGCGCATGGTTTGAAGTTGACTTACAAGACATTTGCCATGGGTCAAGAATATTATTATAGCTAAAAATACATAAAAACTTTGGGCATGCACACATGCATGTAATGATATCCTTAAGCAAATCTACAAGAATACATGTCTGTAGACACAAGCCATAGACATGCATCCAACATGTGTAGGAAACATAAACAAATAAAACACATTTGGACAGATGTCCTACATGGGCAGCACATGTCGATGAGTGTCATTGTCCAACACATGTCAGACATGGCTTATTAGGAGGCATATCCTTGTTTTCTATAATGCATGTAACTAGATTGACTAATTTAACAAATATTTTAGCATCTGAGCCACACACCAGAAGCATGTCTCCCTAAGCTTCATTACTTGATGCCTAGGGACATTGCATGGGAACAGCAGAGCAAGACCTACATTTCAGTAGACCACAATGGGGTATGGTTGACCCTAATGCATATGATGAGAGAATGATTTTATAATTGCAAAGATTTTCTCTGTCACTTCTTCTCATAGGAAACTTGTTTGTCTAGATTCTCAAATTACGCAAAATCTCATGGTCCAAAAAGTATTTCAAATCCTAAATACTTTCAAAATCTCCAATGTAAGTCACAGTAAATAAATATATTGCTTTATAATTATTTACGTGCAAACCATGTACAATGAAAGTTTCACTATTGGGATAAGAGATAATTCCCCTAACAGATGAGAAAAACTTACTTTGGCAACGAAAATGAACCTCATTCCACTATGAATGAGCAAACTATCACATGATGTTGCAAAAATAGATAGTGGCGATGCAAAACGAGGCGACAACTGCAAGCTCTCATCAGTTCCAGCAATGTCAAGGACTACTCTTCTAGCCCGCCTGAAATTCAACTCCAAGACTTCTTCTATATATGGCCGCAAAAGTACCAAAAGCAATTTTGAGAGTTTTAAACCTTGTGATTCCAATGCAGAACAGTGGCTAAGACTAGCCTGAACACAAATACTAGCAGCATGTAAAGCAAATATTGTGTCAGAAGGAGGTGCATTCTCCTTAACCAACCGTACAAAAGATTCAATTTCACATTCTGCCCATTGAATGACTCTGTTGGTATAAGCAGGATTGTCACCAAATATCAAACCAGATTCTTTTGTTGTCAATGAGATTGAAGAGAATACAAGGTTAGACAACGTGGCTGAATATGTTTCTGGGTAAGTATGGCAGAATGGAAGAAAAGCCTTGACGCTATTCTGGAGGTGGGACCCATATGATTTCAACAGTAGCTGATGTGCCAAAGGACCTTTTCCCAGCTTTAGCAATCCGGATAAAGCCTTCTTCAGTTCAAGAATACCAACTAAGGGTTGTTCAGTAATCTCAACTACCTGATCCTCAAGCATTTCCTTCCTTTTCAAGAAAGCGGACTTGTATGAGGACGGTTCAGTAGAAGAAGCATCTCCTGAGCCTTTCAGCTCAGGATGGCTTCTCTCTTCAGTATCCAATACCTCCAGTGCTTCTTCCACTTTATGCTCAGCCAAGAGAACATCAACATTCTCCAGAAACATCCTCTCGTGACCCCCTGCTTCATTTAGCAAGGGAACTTCGAGTTCACAATTTTTAAGATTTTGCTCAGCTTCCAGTATGTCACCGCTAGACCCGTTAAACTCATCCAATTCACGGCATACACCACTCATCAAATCCTGAACTAGAATCCCTTGAGCTGAAATATGCTTACGGAGCTCATTTAGCTCGTGCTCCACTTCCACGACTTCTTCAGATAACCTACAATAATCATCATAATCAACGTTCTACATATGTAGTCAACCACTAATGTACCAAACAAAAGCAATTAAAGTAAGTTAGGATGCAATTAACAACCACAAGCTGATTTTTATGAAGTAAATATCTTCAAAACAAAGGGGTGCACTCTTTTAACAAGGAAAATTGCATTAAAAATAGTACCAAAAGAGAATGCTGTTCAGCGCACTCATATAGAATGAGGCGAACTTGGTTCTGGGGAAAAACAACTTAGAGGTATACGTTTGAGTGAGATATTTTATAGGATCATTAGTGATGTACCATAGTAGTTGTTGGACCTATTAGAACTTGATATTTTTTATTGCTGCCTAGATCATTGAATCATCAGTCTTATTAGATATATAAACACACACACATTATATTGCTATTGATATTTTTATGAGTTTTAGAAAGGATCAAATTTTGAGACTTTATATATATTGTGAGGAATAAATGTTTATTGTTATACTTGTTTTTAGGGTTTTATGTGTAGGTTAATTTTCTGAGCTACGGCTCCTCGTGTTTGGTCTCAGGTGAACCCTCCGGTTGATCAGGTTTTCAGATGTCTGAATGATGCTTTGGGGCAGGATAGTCCTGAGCTACAGTCAGTGGTGTCTGGGGCAAAGAAGGTTTTGGGAATGGTATCTTAGATCAGGTGATGGGAGGTGTTGGTTTGGAGGAGGGTGGTGTTGAGCAGGCGTGTGCATCACCGGATGCGAGGGAGTTTGTTGAGGAGCAAAACAGTGGGAGGCTTTAAAGAGGGATGGGAATAAAGGGGGTAATTATCATTATTGTCATATTAACACATCCCAGTCTTTAAAGAGGGATGGGACTAAAAGGGATGGATTTAGATAGAAGCATAAAAGCAAAGGGAGGGATCATACGGCAACCAAAAAACAGAGAAATAGTATTACCTCAAGAAAGCCAAGTACTTTGTGCGTGTATTGCCACATAAGTTCTCCACTGCATCCTTTAAATCCAAAAGCTCAAAACAGAGCATTCTAATTCCCTACACAAATAAGCATGGTCAAAATATAATTATTGAATAAATTGAATACCTAAAATTTGTGTTCCTCCTATGAAATTGATTTTATCACATTCTATTGTGGATAGTTTACGATATTAATGTCTGTAAAACTTTCCTTGTGACAAATCCATAGTATTGAATTGACATCAGGTTCAATCCTTCCAGTGTTACCCGCTAAGACTACCATCTCTCGCTACTTAATTGGAAGAGTAAATCCAATTACAATAAATAAAGGGCATAGGCTTGTTTTGAACTTGAAATTGTTAAGGGAAAAGTAAAAGGAAAGGAAAGTGAAAACAAAAACGATTTTACTCCGTGCTTCCCTTCCACGTTAAAAATCATTATATTATAAATTTTATATGAAACTACGTGAAAATAATGAAAAATAGATGAAATGGTATCTAGAATCAAGAACTTTACCATATACTCATCTTATTTTCATTTTATAATTGAATTCTATGGCAACCAAACAAGGAATAATGATTCCCATGCATTTTCTTTCCATTTTCCCTCAACAATTCATAACCAAACAAAGCACTAAAAAGACATATAAAAACTTTTTGCACAACACTAACCTAAAACTAAAAAAAACCCACATTATCAGAAACCAATTAAGATGAAAACCACAAAAGCCTACACTCCCCGTAGATTGAACACAAAATACTTCAGACCCCAATAACAAAGCACAACACAACCATGGACTAACTTCAAACCGAGATGGTAAGCAAAATGCAGCCCCTTTCACGGAATTAAACTTCAAATAGGTAAAATTCAAACTTCAGAAGAAAAAAAATTAAAAAATCAAAACAAAGGGTTGATCAAAGATAAAAACTATCTTAATAAATGATCAAGGTTTAACAAAGATGATTTCAAACAAAATCCTTACCTTTTACCTAGTTATCAAAAAAAAACAAAAAAAAAGGCCTTACCTTTTACCCATATAAAATTTAAATTTGAGTTAAAAAAACCCCAAAAACCCTCACCATTGCTTTACTCCAACTCAAATCAAAAAGAGCTTTTTTACTCAAATTGAGGGATACTCAAATTTTTTCAAAGCTATTTTGGCTTTCAAATTTATCACTTTTATTCAAGCTTTTACTCAAATTTTTGCTTCCATTCAATTACTTCACATCAAATAAAACTTTTGCACAAATTTTAGATTTGATTTGAGTAGAAATTTGAGTAAAGGCTGGATGTGGCCCCGATGGAGTCGTAATTTTGTGGGAATAGTTGAATTACAGTATTAGGCTAAGCAGATGAATAGATTTTAGGCACATTGAAATTTATTTTCTTCTTAGTATATTTTCTCAGCAACCAAACAAAATGGGAAGGAAAAAAGAAAAAGAAAAATGAAACATTAGTATACCTTTTCGGTCTTGGACTGATAGATGGTGTCGATCTTAGACTGTGGAGTGACAGATTCGATTGATGGGAAGTCATCGTCTTCTTCGCTACTCTCCATTTCTTAGCCTAGTTTTGATTAACCCAATTTTCCCTCTCTCTCTCTCTCTCTCTGAAACTACAAGCAAAAACTCAAAAGTTCAGAGTCCAAGAATAAGAAGAAGAAGAAGAAGAAGAAGGGTTGTTGTTGTGGTGTTTCGGCGGACTATCGTGATCACTTCTTCCCCATGCCATGGTTTTTAGGGCCCATCATTTTCACATTTGATTTGACCCCACTTTCTTCTTGCTTCATCTACATATTTTGATTTTTTTTATTTATGGTGGTGTTTGGCAAGATTTGATTTTAGATTTTTTTTTATTTTTTTTATTAGAAGGCAAAGTTTTTGTAAAATTTAAAAAAAAAAATCAAATAAAATATCACATTTAATTTTATAATTATTATTTTTTTTCTTATAAATATCACATTCAACCACAAAAAATTTAATTATCTTTTCAAACACCAAAAAAATTTTATCTAATAATATCCTACAACTAAAAAAACCTACATAAAAACTCAATTCTCAAATAAATATTTACAAAAACCTACATAAAAACTCAATTCTCAAATAAATATTTACACCTTAATTTCAATTTAAAAAAATTTATTTTTTATAAAAAATGTGAAAAATAAAAATATGTATAGATGATTTGGAGAAGTTATTGGTTGGTTTAGTGACTACGTCACGTGGCACTTCATGTACATTGTGATTAGTGAAAATGATGGGCTCACAAAATTCACAGAACTCCATGCCCATGGATTTTCTCTCTCTTTTTTTTATTTATGGTGGTGTTTGGCAAGATTTGATTTTAGATTTTTTTTGATTTTTTTTATTAGAAGGCAAAGTTTTTGTAAAATTTAAAAAAACAAATCAAATAAAATATCAAATTTAATTTTATAATTATTATTTTTTTTCTTATAAATATCACATCCAACCACAAAAAATTCAATTATCTTTTCAAACACCAAAAAAAATTTATCTAATAATATCCTACAACTAAAAAAACCTACATAAAAACTCAATTCTCAAATAAATATTTACACCTTAATTTCAATTTAAAAAATTTTTATTTTTATTTTTTATTTTTTATAAGAAATGTGAAAAATAAAAATATGTATAGATGATTTGGAGAAGTTATTGGTTAGTTTAGTAACTGTGTCACGTGGCACTTCATATATATATTATGATTAGTGAAAATGATGGGTTCACAATTTTGTGTTTGATGATTGAAAAATATGAAAAACATAATGATTTGTGATTGGTAAGAAGTATCGCTACGTAGCGTCCCAATCCCAAGACTAACCAATAATTTTTCAAGGATTTGATAATTTATTAGGACTTTTTGGCTGAAAATTATTGGTTGCATTTGGTTTAGTTTTAGAACTATGATTTGATAATTGAGTTATATTTTGAGCTTGTGAGTTGTTGAATCATGATTTGAAGTAAAAAACAAAATTTGTTTGATATGAATTTTGAAAATAGTTTTAAATTAAGTTTTGAATTTTTGAAATAAGAAAAGTTGTTTGGTTATAAGTTTTGAAAAAAGTTTTCAAAACTTAATTAAAAAAACTTATAACTCATAATCAAAACGCAACTTAAAAATCTATTGAAAATTATATTCAAAACTCATAACTAAGCTCTTTTTAAAATTCAATTCAAAAAAATAATTATTTAAAAAAATCAAAAAATTCTGAAAATATATTTTTTATTTAAAATATATAAAAAAAAAGAGAAAAATTGTCTAAGATCCGTATCCAATTTTTGGTAACAAAGGTGTACAATAATATTTTTTGATAGCTAAGGTCCCTCAATGTTATTTTAGGTTGTAATAGAGATTTTCGTAGAACATGATGATACAGATTGATCGTGCCTTCTACACTGCTCTCTTTCTCTATAATGTGTGTCACTACTAAGCTTCAACAATGGCTGATGAAGAAGAATAACAGCAAACTCTGATCTACAAATCAAGAAAAACCAAAGTGATGTCTCCAAAAGATGGAGACTCCTCCAAATCCACAAACCTAGCAGCTACAAAGACATGCAATTGAAGTTCAGTTATTTGCTCTTCAGCTCTACAGAGAGTTACTTCATTCCATTCCTAAAGAATTTTGTTTGTGACAGTTTTAAGTTTGGACAGATGAGGAAGGTTATGCATGAATATTTACCCGACGGCAATCTCACTCGAGTCAGTATACATTATTATTATTATAGCATCTCCATATAATATATATATATATATTTTTTAATCATCAAATTTGGTTAAAAACTTGATTTGGTGTATATTCTATTCTGACATAGAACTTCTACATCTCCCAAGGCAATGGTTCGAGTTTCTGTATATTAATTGGGCTTTTTCTTCCACTTTTGGAGTTACTTGTGTTGATTATACACGTGTTATATTTGATCTTCATTGCACCCAGTTTGGATCGAGTGATGTGAAAAGAAAAGAAATTATTAAAGGTGAGAAGAAAAAAAAAATGATTGGAATTTATCTTTTTCTTGTTTTGATGAATTAGAATTAAAAGAGTAATCTTTATACTAGAATTCAGAGAAATTATTTGGCCCTCACAGAATTTCTCTGGAGAGAAATTCTCTAGGAACAAATTCTATAAAAAGTCCAGAGAAATTCACAGAGCTCCATGCGCATGGATTTTCTCTCTATTTTTTCTTGGTAAAGTGAAGAGAAAGAGCATTTTTATCTTTTGATGTTAATGTGTTTTTGTTTTTGTAATCTTTAAAGTGAATTTCTCCAGTCTTTTATATGAGTCTAGAGAAAATTCAAAGTTTGTTATTGTAATCTAGAGAAAATTATTATTATTACAAATTTCTCTGAACTTTTATGTTGTGTTTTTATATTTAACAAGTTATTTTTCACCTATTTTTCTTGGCAGCCAAACAAACTTTATGTTTTTATGGTTCACTTGAAATCTAAAGAAAATTTAGAGAAAATTCTGAAAAAATCTCTAGATTAGAATCTAAAGAATTTTTCTAGTCTTTCTAGAATTTATCTAGAGAGAAATTCTCTGGGAAGTCTAGAGAATTCTCTGGATATATGTATATTGGTTGTTGTTGTTACTTATTTTGGTGATCGATTTGTGTATTGCACATTGTGATCGGGAAGGTAGATAAATTTTCTGGTTTGAACCAGATAAATTATTGCGAAAACTAAAGAAATTATTTGGAAATCCAGATAAAATCTATAGACTAGAATCCAAAGAATTTATCTGAATTTCTCTGGATCGATGTTGAGGGACCTTAGACATTATGAAAATATTATATGTCATTTATGCTATAAAATATTAATTCCAGAGACCTTAAAAAAAATTCCCTAAAAAATATATAATATTTTTTTTAAAAAAAAAATATTCAACTATTACTTTAAAATTACTTTTGATTGTACATTTGATTGTTTTTTTTAAAAAAATTGTTTTGTTTAAAAATGTTTTTTTTTAATTTTTTAAATTACTGTGACATTTTTTTAAAAATTTTAAGTAAATGGCCAAATAATTTGTCATCTTGGTCTAAAAATAATATTTTATATATCTAAAAAATATCAAATATATATATATGTATATTTTTCAAAAATATATATATATATATATTTTTCAAATGACAAAATTACCCAAAAAAAAAAGAAAAAGAAAAAGAAAAAAGAGCACTGTTGTGATCAACCGACCGAACATTCGAGAGGATGTTTGAACAGACAATTGGGTAGACCCAAAAATTCAAAAACTATCTGGGAAGATATCCGAGCAGACGACCGGATAAACTAAAAAATTTAAAAACTCTCTGGTGTAAACGTCCCCGAACACCCCTGGGAGGAACGAGTCCCCCGTTCCGTTCAATATTTGGGCTCACTACAGTTCGGACTCTCAATTTGTCACGGTTCTAAATCTGAACCAAAGAGTCCAAATCCGGCAAATCGTTTTGAGAAAACAGATTTTGAAAGAAGTGCCAAACATGGACTGCTTTGCCAGATACAGAGTCGCCACCTAAATATTTTATTTTGGGAAAATTTAGGAAACCCTGACTCGTTGCCTAAAGCCACGTGTCCGTCATCACCAAAGTTGCCTCGGCTCAGGAACTTGGGTACCGATGGGGAAGGTCACTTCGTGAGCACCCCCGCTCGCCCTGATCAAAGATCGGCCTCTACTAACCATGATATCTATTTTTGAAAACATTATGCATTCTTATTCCGGTTATTAGCCTAGATTTACTATGTGATGCGCACAGCATACAAGTATAGACTGGATCGCCTGAATTAACAAAACATTTCATGTTTTGTTTGTTTGAAAAATGGTTTGATGGTGCTACTCGCAAGTAGGCTAAGACGTGGATTTGCCACTCTCGGTGGCTTAGAAAACATGATTTTGCCACTATCTAGTGGGCTTAAAACTCACAGTGAATGAATTGTTCCAATCCAAATACCCAACCTTCACCCACAGGCATTCAGCAAATATATCACATAAGCATATAGCCTCATGGTAAGCATGTATTCATGGCAGTCACTCACACACATGCAAGGATGCTAAAGCATAAAACTTACCAGTACTCCAAGCCAAAACATAAGCTAGGTTAGAAATCCATGCATGATCCTAACTATACAAGAATGCCTAATGCAACAACATGCAAAAATGAACTATAGCAGGCTCGGCTATTCTAGACATGGCATATGAAATGCTACACCTAACATGTATTCAACTTAAAATTGAAGAGACAATGCAGTTAGTATGATGCGCCGAGCCCGCGTGCATGCAAAACAGATGAATGAATGCAAACATGCTATCATACTGTATGCTAATTAAATATGCCATAATCTAACCATCATAAGCGGGTAAATAAAAGGGAGAAAGACGTGGGGTTGGAAACATACATCACACACACGCACACTTATCTACAGTTGTGGCCCCGCGCAGAGGGTCCGAATAAATAATACAGTCCCGAATAAATAAATTACAGTCCAAATAATTACAAATCCTAATTAATTAACAAATTAAATTAAGGAAAGCAATAAATTGGCATGCAAGCAGGGACTTTCAAATCTGCTCCGGATGATGAATGAATGCATGCTCGGGTTGCCTTGTGCGGAGAATTTCTTGGCGATGCCCCAATTAGCCTCTGTTTGTAATTATTCTCGGGATGCGTGCCAACTTAAGGCTGCTGATTTCTGATATTGCTGCAACAGAAGAAACAAAGGGGCACGACAAAGTATTTTCACATATGTAGCATTGACTACTCTTAA